GGATGTACAAAAGATATACACTGATAATACACTTACAATCAAACAGAGTAAAAAACTTAATAAAATATGAATTACGGTTAACACGCAACGCGATCTTAAATGGTAGCGTCTGTAATGAGTTCACTAATATCAAATCGCCGAGTATATCATCACAAATAGGTCACATCGATCAGAAAAGTAACCACAAATAGAAAATAGACACATTCAAATCTTTAAAAAAATTATAAAAAAAAAAATTAATTATTAGTTTATTTACCTCGCAAGCTAAGTTGACCATATCTTTGCTAAAATGAACAATGTAAAACTGAATTAAATCAAGAGGAACCAGGGAATACGTGAACCCCATACGCATAGTTTCTTTTGACTTCACTTCATTTCTACCTGGTTCCTTAATGTGTAAAGTAGATACCTCTATTTTCACGCGTGGGACTTCCGTATTGCATACCTTTTCGATTGAAGGCTAATATTATACGTCAAATTGAAAGGTCTAGTTTGATCCGTGGGAGTGCGTGTTGCATACTCGTTTGAATTTAAGGCTAATCTCATTCCTCAAATTACTGCAATTTCGAGAAAAAAAAGGGGGAAAAAATGAAAAAAGAATCAATTATCATCATTTTAAAATCTGAGATGTAATATTTAAAACATCTCTCAAGATTTAAGCAGTTTCTTTTTTGTTTCTTTCAATTTATTTTTATTTTAACACTTTATTTTATCCCTTGTCAAAGCACCGGCGGAGGCTGGCGCTGCGTCGCCGTCCCTGTATGACGATGCACCTCATTGTCATATTGTCAAAGCACCAGCGGCGGCGGCGGCTAGCGATGTGACGCTGCCCGAGTAAGACGCCGCATTGTCAATCAGCGATATTCATACCTGGATCACCGTGAGTTATGATTTCCGGGAACCCTTGGCCTCCACGTTGAACAAATGACCATTGTGCGACCACATGCCAGGCGCCAACTCATTTGCCCGTCACCAACCCTTCCTCACCACTGAGCGAAAATCCATACCTATAAACGTGACCCTACTACTTAAATGTGTTCGTGTACAAGAAAAAATTTCCACTCAAAGCGGCTGTCACCTGTTAGCAGGTTCCGGTTCCATTTGATGAAAAAGTTGATTAAGTGATCAAAGCCTTGCTTTAAAAAAAACTTGGAAATCAATTCATGGTGCTTGTATACCTGCTGTGAACAGTGTAATTTACATGATACATCCGACAAGTTGCAGGCTTAAAAAAAATTCACCAATAATTTACTTCTACATATACGAAAATTTATAAAAAAAAATGATTATAACTAATGTTGAGTAAATTAATTTGATTGTCTTCGCAATGTTTACAGCCAAAACGGTGGTTTGCCCTCTGCATTGCGGTCATAGTAGGTTTTGGCGCACAAGTGCCCGGCTGGGCATTTTACGATAATGACAGGACGTACAATCCCCTAGAGCATGCTCTGTATGCGAGTCTCCATCGAACTCTCTGGGCCATTCTGATTTGTGCTGTGATAGTCATTCAACTCGGTTGGGGTTTCGGTAAGTTATCCTCCAAAGGTGATTATTGCCAAGGGCATGTCATCACTCTCCATCACAATATGGCAGCGCATTTCATATTTTTTCCTGTTTTTCGTATCAACTAAAAAATAAAAGTAAAATGAGGAGACGAATCATTTTTTTGCAGGTGAAAGGAAAAGTTTTTCAAAGATACCATTTATCTCTTTTCGGTGCCTTTGAATGTTCCAATGACCTTATTTTGGTTTTAGGTGAGGCTGTGGAACAGATTTTGACGCACAAGTTCTACACGCCACTCAGCCGATTGATATACCAGGTTTACTTGATCCACGGAGTCTGGGAATTATTCCACCTCGCCAGTCTTCGCCATCCTCTTTATGTTTCGGTCCCGCATTTCGTAAGTGACTTTTCCTCTCTCACAAAGTTGCACTCAACAAAATTCACGTTGAAAAAAACCATTGCACGTTCCACGTGCAAGGAAAAAACGGCCTCCACCTCTTGTTTTTTCTTTAAAGCCTCGAATCTTCTCGGAGCTCCAAGCCGGTGACTTCTACCAGCAAATACGAATAAAACAGTCCTAGCCGTCTGGCGCCTTCATTTTTTCAAGAAGGCAACACAGACAGCCGTCGAGCACGAATAGTTGCATAAAGGCGTTATTATGGACACTGCAATAGGCAGCCGAGCTATGAATTTAGGACGTTTTGTTTCATTTTAATTCTTCATAATAATACCCAGTGAACCACATGCTGCTTTAGTCACGACGTATCAATTTTGGAGAACGATGTTCTGAGTGAAACGGAAAATTCGGAGGATTTTGCAATATGACTCTGTATCAATAGTAGAACCAAAAGGGTATATATATAAAAGTCGCTTTACAGCACTTCCTCGCGCTCTACGACTCCTAACCTCCACTGCTCTCTTTCAAACCACAAATCTTGGGGGATTGAGCACCTTAACATTTCCGCTTCAATCCCTTCCCTCCAACCTTTCATTGGGCGCCCTCTGCGTCTTCTCCCAGGAGGAACCCAGTCAAGGACCTTCTTCGGCAACCTGTCTCCTGCCATTCTCTGGACATGACCATACCAAATGAGTTGTTTTGTCATAATGTCATGCACGATTGGTGCACCAAATGGGTGCCTGTCAAATTAATAGAACTTAGCGCAACCATTCAACTTTGGTACATTCTGACTCGAACCGCAGGCCAATCACATCCTCTTTTGTTCTAGGCTACACTGGTGGCTGGTGACTTTCTCCTATCTAATTTACTGGGACTCTGGTTGTACCTCATAATTGATCGGCCGGCAGGGAACTTGAGAAGTTATTTAATTGAACGGATATCTAGGCCCCGGTAAGTAGACAGTAATAACACACTTGATTCTTTTAAAAAATCTTGGTTTCTGCAGGGCCGGATCTTGGGGGTGGCCACATAGAACGCGGCCCATGGCGGCAAATGTGCATTTTTTTTTTTTTTAAATATAGGTATAAAAAAAACCGGATTAAGAAAAATAATTACAATAACGAGAAAATGTAACAAAATCTCTCATTTCCTGAGAGTGTAGTAATTTCTAATTTTGTCGTCTTTCAATGATACAAGAGACAGCACCTTTAATTAGTCGAGTTAAGAGAAAATAGTCCTAACACCCAATTTAGCTTGGAACGGCGCGGCGCAGAGAGCAATGATGACGAGGACTTGAGATAAAAAGGGGAAGCCCTCGGCGCGGCGGTCGGCATGTAAGACATATTAGCGCCTACAAGAGTGCATGAATACTTCACGCATTGCGTCAAACACAGTGCGTTGAGCAGCGATCGGCGTGAAACGCATAGCGCCTACAAGACTGTCGGAATACTTCACGCATTGCGCCAAACAGTGCGGTAAGCGCGGCGCAGTGCAGCGGTGGAAGTTAAAATTATTGAAGCACATTCATGTTAGTTCTTTCTTAATGTTTTCGTACATTTCTTACCATTGGGAGGCTTTGTCCGCACAGAGATAGGTTTACGGAACTTAACTTTTGCTAGTAGTGTTGACAGGGCTTACGCAAAAAATGTGTCCAACGCAAGTGAACGCATCTTATGCACCCCTCCCCCTCCGGCACGTTCTTTTGATGGTTTTTATTGATGTTTTAAATCGAATGAGAAGGGGGCGGCCAAATACAGGCGGCAAGAAGGTAAATCCGGCCCTGTTGGTTTCTGGTGAGAGAAAAAAGTACATCAATCTTACAGCACATTATAAAGGTTTTTTCCCCAGCAAAGTTCAACCCTAGTAAAAGTGAATCAGCCTGACTCTTTTTTAATAGGGACACTCAGAGTCAAAGTTCTCTACATTTAAAACAGGCATCGGTACTTCTTTCGCGCCCATGATGACAGAGGCCTTTCGTCAATAAAGCTGTGAGTCACAAATAGATTTACTTAAACGACTTTAGCAAATGGGTGGTTTTTATACGAGATTTAAGAATAAACAAGTGGTTAGAAATGAAAACAAAATAATATGAACTATGCAAAACGATAATCCGGGTAACGGAACTTGGCTGATTTGAAAACGCCTTCAAATGCGGCGTGATACCTCCACGCATTCTGGAGAGTTCAAATAGTTGTATCATTGCGCCGTAAAAATGTGACGGAAGATAAAAATGGAAATAGCCTTCATGCACGCTGGCCTTATCGATATCCTGTGACACTTTTGCAGTGGTGATTGCAAAGCTTCAGTGCGCTTCAGCTAGAATTGTATTGGAAGTCGACCACTTAGTTATGCGTTAGAATTTTTCACTTTACCTAAACTTTGATTTCAAGACGTAGGTATTCCCTGTTTATTAATGTTTTATACTTAGATACAACATGTTTCTTGATGATGAGAATGCCTTGATCTTAGTTACGGAAAGTTATGGAACGGAAGTTTACAAAGTTATGGAACTTTCAAGTGTTTTGCCACTTGCGGCAGTAGGTACTTTTCTTTCGTACATGATTCTTTAAAAAGCTCTCTAATTTTATATTTTTTTCGCCCATAATAATTCTGAGTGAACATAAACCTATCTTCTTTTTACCTTTCTAATCACAGGATTTAAATTCGTAGCTTCTCTAGATTGCACACCAGCAACCGCCTGCATTAAAAATCCAGTATAAAAAACCTCTGTGCTATCAAGAACTTAGGCATCCCTACTGGCTATAAAGAGTGCACCTTGCCGCGCCCAAGTAGCAATGATCGCGATAAATAGCGATTATATCAGTGGAAATATATCGATATATTATCACATTGAAAATGTCGATTTATGGCGATTAAATCGCTATACACATCTCAATTTTTGGTTCGATAATATCGTGATCAATTTTCGTTAGTAAAATTGCCATTTTTCCCGATATTATTTCGAAAATATCGCGATAAATACTGTCGGGCGATAAAAGCGCGATTTTATCGCGATAAGATCGAGAATAATCGCTCAGATGTTGATGGTCCTGGCGATTTTGTAGCCGATAAAATCGCGATATAAAGCGATTTTTTCGTTGATAAATGCTACTTGAGCGACTTTGCAAAAGTGACAAAACTACTGCGCGCAATTAATCATGCTCCTGAGCTACTTATCAGAAGCGGAACCAGCAATTTGGCAACACCGGGTTTCCTCCATTTAAACCTATCTTAAGTAATCGATTCTTGTGGGAGGGCCTGGCCCCTCCACGAATCGATACATTTCTATATGTTTAAATGGAGGAAAACCGGTGTTGCCAAATTGCTGGATCCGCCAATGCTACTTATATTGCCATCACGGTTATTGAAGGCGAACTTAACAGAGTAAAAGACACGCTAAGAGGAGAGCTATCAACCAACGCGTGTTCCTCACCGGGACAGAGCGAAAGTGACAAAATTACTATACGTAATTATTCGTGCTCCGTAGCCACTCATTTTGTCATCAGGGTTATTGAGGGCGAACTCGACAGAATGAGTCTCATCCTAGTCGGATGACGACTGCGGTATAAAATGCCAAGAACTTTTTAGGGTTGCCAAATTGTTTTAGGAATAACATCGCATCGGGCAGTAGTTTTAAGTACCAATTTTGGTGAGCAACCATCCTTTGTTGAAAGTCGTAGGCGACCACACGTCACTCACTATTAAAACCTTTAAGACTTTTTGAATTTTCAACCAAATGAATTGATCTTGGTCTCAGTAGCAACCTATTAGGCTTGTCTTTCAAAGAGGACCAAGAAACGCTTCTACCTCGCTTACTTTTGAAATCATAGCACTTGTCTCACTACTTCTTGACAGCCTATGTGTAGCTCTAAATTAATTCATCTAAATTTGTTCCAGGGAATCTAAGAAACATGGTCTAAAAGTATCCAAAAAATGATACGATCAAGATGGAACCTGGGACAATGATACCCATGTTAAAAATCTGGATGCAGCGACATGATTTTCAATTGAGAGGTTGGAAGAAAGTTTCAAAGTCAGCATTGTGTTCTTAGAAAAATTTTCAGCCTCTCTTAATGGAAGTTACTTCCTTCTGCATCGCGACAGAGTCATGAGAATCTGCAGTGTCAGAAGACAAGTAATTGATTTCAATTTTGTCAGCCCATCTAAAAATTGTACTATTTGTATAATTTTTCCTTCGGCTCCTCTTCCAGAATTTTGTTTATCGTTTTATGCATAGAATTGAAGAAAACGTACAGACTTTCAGCTTTGCATAAAATTCTTAAGATTTTCCGATGTTTCTCAAAAAATGTTTTCAGGATAATTTTTAGAAATTTAACCTTGCGAATCTTGAATCATCTAGGAGGTCTAAGAGAAAAATGCTTTTGTACTCTGGAGAATTCCTCAGAGGCTCTGCTTCTGCACATTACTGAAATAACTATCTGAGAATTTAGAATGTCCAAATTTGAAAAAAAGTACCGGAGTACCTGTGTGCGAATCTAAATGTAGACGACAATTGTGAGTGAACAAGATTTAAAAGAAGCTTTGCGCAATAAAAACATACCAAAGTGTTTGATTAGTTGTACTCCTGGTATTTTTCATTGATTTTCTCTCTCGTGGCCCATGGGTTAGGAGGGTTAAATGGATAGGAGTGAGCAAATTTGACGGATATTTTCAGGTAGGTAAGTATTGTATTAAGTAGTGAGGATTGGCTTGACTGAACCCAACAGTGCACCTTTTACAGCACATTGAGCTGTTGAAACTTGGATTTCTTCATTTCTTCAGCTTCCAAAATATAGATAACCCTGTCCAGCATCTCAAATTGCTTAAACTCAATAAATGAGAATTGTTATTGGTCTGTGTTTGTTATTTCTGGTTAATCACTAAATCAAAACAATAGTTTTCTTCAAACTGAAAATGATCAACATGAAGAAAGTTTCAGACAGTAAACAAACTGTCAATAAGCTGATACGAAACTATTATGGTTTAGTTTACCCCTTATTCTCTCTTTTTTTTCCTTTTGATTTAACAATAAAAAACAATTTTTTGGTTCATTATTCAATTCTAATTTATTCACAAAATTACAGGGTCTAATTAATCACAGTTATTTGTCGTTTACATTTTTTTCTAATTTTACAAAAAGAAAAAATAGAATGCAAGCAAGTCAGTAAAATTTAAAAACAAAACATTATTAATATTTTTTTTCATTTGCAATAACCATAAATGCAAGAATGAGGCAAAGTAGATACACAGGAGCAATAACTCCGACATAGGTACTACGCCATGACTTGAAATGATTTTACAGATCGAAGTAAGGTTATTAAATACTGAGAAAGCAAAGACAGGCTTTAACTTTAATTTTTCTCACTGGATAAAGGGGAAACGACTATTGGATTCAACAATAACAATATAGCTTATACAAAAATTATTTAAAGGGAGCTCAATCTGGTAGTATACATTCCTGCAAAGCCTGAAACGACTGGATGCATTTAAATTAAAAGGAACTACATCAATCAAGACATGAGGCCTGTGATTCATGTATTCTTATGGATCTTAGGAGACTCATGTCAGAATAAATATATTTCATTTTTATTCAAATAGCTGAATTCAAAGTAAAGATGACCCTCTTAATGCTTTGAGACAAACAAAGGCGTGAGGAATTGATAAATTGACCAATTTAACACACAAAAATAAAATGTTCAAACACATTTGTTGACAGATTGATACTTATGAACTTAAATTTATGGTAACCAAGTAAAAGGTGCAAAAAAAAACCGAACAAAAAACGATTTCTGTTGACCAAGAAAAATTTAGCTTGCACTCTTCAACACTTTGTTTTCTCAAAGTTGAAATCATTAAGAGGATCATAAATTCTAACGATTTTGTCGATATCTCAAATACTCTACGTACTTCTTTTTTTTTTTTTTTTTTGGAAGCATTTAAAAAAGATCAATTAAGTTATTCGTGAGGTTATCCATTAAAAAATGCTGAGAAGGAAAAATAGAGAGGAAGGAAAAGTGAACCCATGGTACAATAAGTACTGTCATGGTGGGAATACGTATTTTCCTGACTCTTATCGGAAAGATAATTTAAAACTCAGAGATGCATACTAAAGTTAAAACCACACACACAAAAAGTTGAGAGCAGAAAATTTATAATGGAGAAGGAAACAAATAATTTGATGGCTATGGTAACTATTAAAAAATCAAGACAACTTGGATACACGATTACTCCAATTTTAATTATTCTCCACATAAAATTCAAAACCCTGTGGAAAAAGTAAACAACACACATGTACACATAACTGAATAATAATTTTTTCAAATTTTTTTAAAGACCGAAAATTTTCTTTTTAAAATGTTAGTTTTGTTGCGGATTTCTGTCAAAAAATAGATTCAGAAAAACCTTGGAACAGACAGGCCAACTATTTTCTTTTGAAGTGCACTTAAAAATAATGTTCAGATCACACTGGGCCATAAAATCATAAGAATAAATGCGGTGCACTCTACATCCCTTCCCAAAAAATTAGGTCGAAAACAACTAGCGAAATCACGACTTCAAAAAAAGAAACAAATTTTGACAAGTACACTTGACAGTAATTAAATGGGCTGACATGTGTTTATATCTGTCAGGCTGACCAATGTTACTTGTAAGTACTTACACCTTGCTTCAGTAATCTTTTTCTAACATCTTTTTGTACATTTCTGCATAAAATTTTGAAAAAACATAAAATTTAAATCCATACATTGTCTTCTGATTAATTGGAAAATAAAATTAATTTCTAACATGAAAACTCTTTTTACTCCAAGTAATTTCTGAATTTTTTAATACCAGAGGAAGACATTTTAGAAATACATATGACAGAGGCCTCTCTTTCTATTTTGATATTGATAGTTTGTAAATGATATCCAATAAAAAAAAACATATATTTTAGATGAAAGCTTCTTTTGAAACTTACTTATTGTGATGATGGAATCTGCACTAGAAATATAAACATTCAGACTTCTTTATGATTCATGATTTTTAGGTATGATGTTCTGAGCATACTGAGCTTTGAGAAAAGTTACCTTCCCGATGGACTGGCACTATTTTAACTCATTCTTAACATACAACTGCTTCTGGCTAATATCATTCTCAATGAATGTAGGTTGTAATAGCATTTTCACTATGAATACCGTTAGGGGCCTACACAAGTTAAAGTTCCTTAAAAACACGAAAACAATTTCGGTAATCAAAATTTCAAGTTAGGAAGAAGTGAATTCCGGAAAGTGAGAGGTCTTTTAGTTGAAACACCAATCAACGGAAGCCTCCTGTATTTCCTTTTTCGTCAAAAAGCTGTTTATGTCATACCTTCCACAGCTATAATTGATGATGAAGACGAAAATTTGACTGGGGAAATCGTTCGCAATGATAGAGGTGAAGTGGTAGCATACTATGACAATCAACCTGTATTGAATTTATCACTCAATTCAATAGATTATGAGACTCATGCGCTTCCGAGACGCGTTTTCGCGTTTTCCCCGAGTTTAGTGTGCCGATGCCGTGGCCTATTCCGAGCGCGTGCGTAACGTGTGCGTAGCGTGTTGTGCTAAAGGAAGAAGGTGTCTGAATTTGAAGCATAACCTGAATCACCTCCTGGATTCTTAGTACTTGTAAGTCAAATTCTCTTTAACGTGTTGAAGTTAGCAATGGCTAAAGACAAAGTTGCAATCCCTACCCTAGACGACGACAATTATGAAGTGTGGTCGGTCAGGATGGAGGCACACCTAATGAAGAAGGGGTGTTGAGACGCCGTTCAGGGTTTTGGTCCTTATGTCTTTGTTGATGCAACCACTCGTGAAGAGAGAGAAGTGGAAGATGATGATGCTCTACCGTCTAGCGAAATCACCCGTAGAAAGAAGTTGAACCAGCAAGCGAGAGCTTTAATCATAGAGCATGTCAGTGATTCTTTTCTTGATGATGTGATTGATATAGACGATGCCAAGTCCATGTGGGAAGCGCTTGAAGAAGTTTGCGCTACCTACGATATCTATCAAGATACCCTGTTCTTGAAAGAAATGGTGAATACCGAGAAGAAAGACGACGAATCAATGATCTGAAGTGGAAGAAGTGTAGCCCTAAATACAAACCAAAGCCTCACAAATTCACCGTGCAGAATCCAGGTTATCAGGGATCTCTCTCTCCTGATTCGCGTGAGATTGATTTCTTCAAAGAATTATTTGATAAGAACTAGTTACTCTAATCAAAGACGAATCAAATGCCTTCTATAACTATGCTTTGGAAAACATGGCATTTGTTCCGGAATATATGAGTCGATGGACCAAAGTCACTACTGGTGAGCTCTATTTATTTTTTGCGGTGATTTTTTTAGTGGCCGTACACTCAAAGCATGATGTTAGGAGCTGCTGGTCAACAAAAGCCATCCTTACCATACCAATTTTCTCAAAAATTATGGCACGAAATAGATTAATTCTTATTTTTAAAATGCTGCATTTCTCCTCCAATGCGGAGCAGCAAAGAGGTGACCGACTTCACAAAATCAGAAATGTTTTAGATCGGCTGAAAGCAAATTTTAAAAAATTATATAAGCCATATCAAAATGTTGCTATTGACGAGTCGTTAGTCCCTTTTTAAAGGAAGACTGGCCTTTAAACAGTATATCAAGACAAAAAGAGCCAGATTTGGTATAAAATTTTATGCTTTGTGTGATGGCGCTACTCATTATATTCTTGAGCTCATCATGTACACTGGTGCTTCGACTGAAATGACTGATGAATATCGTTTAGGAAAATCAGGTGCTATTGTTGTGAATCTAATGCAACCACACATCAACCTTGGGCATAACGTGTTCAGTTCACCGATAATTGGTATTGCAGCCCTACTCTTTGAGCCCTCCTAAAATTCTTAGGAACGAACTTGTGTGGTACGATAAAAGCTAACCGTAAAGGTATGCCTAAATTTCCAATAATTGCTCGCCATGAGATGATTGGGCGGCACTGTGAGAAAATGATGGCTGTCAAATATAGTGATAAACGTGACGTACACATGATTTCCTCCATCGACAAGTTTGGGATGAAAAATGTGAAGAAGCGAGGTTCCAACACTAAAGTTTCCAAACCACTTGCAATTGTCAATTATAATGAAAATATGGGTGCAGTTGATCAGACTGATCAACTACTCAGTACAACAGCATCAGTCAGAAAAAGTACTAAGTGGTACAAGAAAGTTTTTTTCCACTTACTCGATCTAACTTTATTGAACGGGCATGCTCTCTATAAAAAAGTCACCGGGAAAAAAATAAGTGCACTAGATTTTCAACAGAACTTAATTGATCCTACTTCATCCCATGATAATCCTACAAGACTTTCAGGACGGCATTACCCATCATCGATTCCAGAAACGGACAAAAAGAAGTTTCCTACGAAAAGATGTCATATCTGCGCTCACACAGCACTAAAAGCTAAGGTTTGAAAAGAAACAAGATATGAATGTACAGATTGTGATGTTGCATTGTGCGTGGACCCTTGTTTTAAAAACTATCACACCAAGTCAAGATTTTAGTGCATGATAGAAAAGTCCTCGGTCCTGTCTTCTAGTATCTTTTTTCCAGTATTTTACCCTTTCCGGTAATCAACTTTTTGAACAACTTTTCTATAATCAAATTTTTAGTTTTATAGCCTCTTTTCCTCTTTGATTTATGAGTTCTTTTGGCTTGATTAAATTACAGTGCCTTTTCTGCATCCTACAGTGTAAATAGATAGTGTGTGATCTGGTAAATAAATTTTCTTTCTTCTTTCCCTAAAATATCGATTTTTCAAGTGTTTTTCTTCAAAATTTTTGAAAATATTCGTTTGACAAGTAGTGGATTCTATTCAGTGCATCTTCACAAATAACCACAAAAAATTTCATCAAGATCGGTCGACAACAAGGGGAGAAAAGGTAAGATTACTAAAAAATTCTGCATGTTTTTTCTGCTCTAAACCCGGCCGCGGGGGGTTACGCGGCGCTACACAAAACTCGGACGTCAAAGGGTTAAGGAACAATAGCATACCTAAACATTTTCCAAAATTATTTCAAGGAAGCCTGTGCAACATTTACACTCACAGCTGAGTAATTAAGTGGGAGATTGAGAAGTGTCAAAGGACTGTTCTTCATTCTCAATTGCTAAACTTCATATCAGCCCTTCGTTTCTCATTAAAGTATTTAAAGGCCCACACTCCAGAAAATGAATAGAAATTTATCATTCATCTAACCAGTGCCAAATTTCCAAATCTCCAACGAGTTCTCGTTTCTATTCGATTAAAAGACTGCTTTATTACAGCGATAATCAGATTGTTTTGATTACTTTAGACATTCTTCATATATATTTGGAACGGTGCAAAAAAGGCCGGATGGCATTTGTCTGCACACTGAGATCATGTAGAGTTTAAAAATTTGAATGGCTTTGCTAACTTTTAACTTAATTGAAACAATAATTACTATGACATATTTGTTTTAGTCAAACTGAAGCTCATAACTTAATGCTAAAAAAATTGAGGAGTACTGATCCTCACACAATGGAAACCTAAGTACATGTGATGTTTCTTAATGCCAATTTACCAGCCAGCATATGACAACTAAAAGCAAAATGTAATTTCCATTAAAACACATTTAAAAACTTTAGATTACAATAACACACAACATGGAGAAATGGAATTACATTGAATTTCTAAAGAAACACAAGTCCAAAATTGTATCTGAACAAAAGTATTTCATTATATTTTGAAGTTCTGGATTTGATTTCAACACCCCTGTTGGTTCAACTTTTGAATCTTGGATACGAATAAAAATAAAAAGGATGAAGAGAATTTTGGGTGATTGCAAAGCGATGTTCTTGAAGAAGAACCCATCAAGATTGGGAGCAGACGATGGAGACTTATCCACAAGGCAAGCTGATAAATAGATGCTATAGTTCTTAAAATTAATTTTCAATGGTTTTATTTATATGATACCTGTTGCAAGGTTACCAAATTGAATTATTACTTCAAAAGAATTTGAAGGAAAGTAAGTAATAAAAACAGAGTAGATGGTCACTGGATCATAAATTTTTGGGAAAACTGACATTGATAAATATGATGTAAAAGTGAACAGGGGGAAAAAATGACAACATACAAAGAATATAATCTCTTCCCTACTTATGATTAGTTCTCTCCTTTTTAATAAAATTACTGTGAGTGGACTAAAAAAACATATTATTGAATAGAAAATAACAATAATACTTTTTAAGTTCCTCAAAGATGCTACAGGAAAAAGTGATTGATTGGTGCTAATATTTTAATGCAAAAAACTTTCTTCCTCCAAAGCTTCCTCCTCCAGTTTACTATTGACAAATAAATAGCAAAAAGGACGTTCCTTGAACAATTACAATAGTTTTTTTGTGTTCAATTTTGGCTGAAAATGAGGATTTTTCTCTACATGGCTGAACAAGAATAAGATGAGAATGGGGTCCTGGACCTATGATAGGACGAAAAGAGACTTTATTTTGTCATAGCTTCGAAAGAACTATTGTCATGATGAGGTCATGAAATACCACTTAATTACTATAAATACTGCCAAATTTAAGTAAGTCACATGTCATAGAAAATTTCTGACAGGAACTATGATCAATGAATCTTTAGTGAGAATCCACATGAATTGCAAGTGCTAAACAACATTTAGTTATGTTAAGTTTTTTCACCTGTTTCACAAAAAAGTTGCTTATAAAATACTTGGAAAATTAGTTGACACTCACCCAGTGATTTAAAGTTACAGAGGACCAAAAAAAAAAGTTCACTTCTTAAACGAGCTTTTAAAAGCTGAAGAATATATGGTAAGATTAGAATTAGGAGAAACCGGTGTTTTCAAAAGACTAATTATGTAGGGGTGCAAAAAACAAGACCAGTTGCCACTATCAGGCTTTCGTACATCACTGCCAATTTCAATTACCTCAGGAAAAAATGCCCCATTCCACAATTAAATACGCAATTTGCCCTTCTTCTAAAAAGATTGCAACAAGAATGCATCACTTTTGAAATGTTCAAGGCTCTAGGTTTGCCTGGTGCTAGATGCGATCTGTAAAAAATCAAAACACTTGACATTTTTTGCACCCCTCAGAATTCCTACATACACAAGATCATCATGTACGGATATACTCATTATACACCTTTGAAAATCCTAGGATATTTATCAAATGCTGGATAAGAAGTCGCATTCACAGTAAGGCATTACGGTTATTGCTTGGAAAAAGAACAGCCTGATTTTCCTGGTCAAGCATCCTTCAATATCAGAACCTAATTGTGTTAATTCTAGCAATTGCAATGAGAAAATATTTCGATCAAGCAAATCGAAGTTCAATCCCTATGAACTGAAAATTTTATAAGAAAAATATTCATACAAATCAAAGCCAATACAAATTTGAATAATCTAGATTCATTGAATTCTGATCTCAGCAAGAGGCAAGAAACATACGGTTAACTAGGAAAATTGTTAGAAGCCAATGGACTGCAATAAATTCATTTCTTGATAAAATCTAAAAACAGTACAGTACACTTTGTCATAATTCATTCCTTTCGGCTGAGATATGTTATATTTTAAGAACAACACTCAGCAAATTTTTGGAGACTTTATTTGTACAGAAAAAAGGATGAAAATCCTCTCTTGACCTGAATGGAATTGTTTATGTCAATCATTCAGTCACAAGAGAGAGCACTTAATACAGGGAATGGAATCATGCTTGATAAGTTACAGACACAGGGTGAAAGTACCATTTTATCAATTATCAATAATGAATTTAGATGAAAATAAAATGAAATGAACCTTTCCACACAGAGAAAAAATTGCAAAAACTTGATCTTACGCAAGTTTCTGTCATTAATTTGAATTTATCGATGTATTTTTGCACTTTCTTTCAGAGCTTTTCAGAAGACAAAATTTGAAAAAATGAAAATTGGAAGAAATGTCTGTTAATCAAAATAATGCTCAAAATTTCAAAGAATAGTAGGGCTTTTCAATTTATCCATATGTATATCCCAAACAAGGTTTGCAATTCTGCAATTCTTCTTATTTTTGATCCTGCATTTTACACATGCCTCCTTAATTCTGTTGAAAGACTTACCCTAATTTCCAACTTTAAAAACGTTGTTACTCGGAATAAGGTCTGTGATAGTTGGATATTGTTGGTTGGTTCATGTATATTATAGTCAATTCAAGTGATACATCCATGAATGTTCTACTGAAACTTATGTGCTGACAACAAGTTGAATGATGATTGAACAGATCCTTTAGGCTACCTAATTAGAGGTAATGGTTCATTGAAACGGTGCGCAGCCCCATCACTCTGTGACAGTTCATTGCTACAATTTGTCATACAGAGTTTAATCTTCAGTGTAAATTACTAAAAAAAAGGCTATCTGTATTGACTGATTCTATTCTTAAATACAAGCTACAGAGGAGAGTAAAATGCTCAGGCAGCCCAGGTTTAATGCACTAAATTCTGGAGGTGGGGAAAATCTTAAAGATGAGAAATCACTTCGAATGAAGAACATAGACACATGACTCACTATTGGGCTTTCTGTTTTGAACTCCTACTACTGCCATGCATTTCTTCAGAATCCTTGGTTGCTTTATTGCTCTGCAACTGTCTTGACTTTTCTCTTAGCTGCGCTTTTTTCAGCTGTATCATAAGCTGACTTGATTGGTAGAGCCATGTTGCCTGGTAACAAACAATTCAAACATGAGGAATAAAAAACCTGAGAGGCAAGTTGGATAGTGATGACCAAAGTTTGGAGCCATGCATCTACATTGCATTGTTCCAAAATTTCTGCTCCTATTTTATTTTTTCATAGAGAAACGAGCCAATTTTATAACTTGAAATTAATGTACAGAAAATTCTGCTGACAAGAGAAACGAGCAAATTTCATAGCTTAAAATTTATATACAGAATATTCTGCTGACAAGCAAAGAATCTTGAATAATGATCAAGGAATTTTTCAAGAAATTACGTTGACTAATTTTCCAAAGGAAAAATGAAGTATGACAGGAAGTCTGTAACATTACAAGCGGAGATACGTAGTTTTGCACTATGGCCATCGATATAAATTATCGACGATCATCCTGAAATTAAGGATCCTAAAATTTTTAGGGTAATACGTGAACTTGAGAAGAATCAGTTTCCAAGCATTGTAACACCAATTTTATTATGTATTTTAACTTTTGAATGAACTTCATAAATCCTCATTTCTGCCAGACTCTCTGAACTTCCTTTTGGACAAAAAAGGCAAACAGAGAATGAAGCTTCATGATTGAACCCCTTTCAATTGATAGGTAAAATTCTGAAATTTTTTATTACATTAAAGCCTTTTAATCCTTAATTTTAATAAATTATTTAATTCAACAGGAGTGTGACTTATTGTCAAGTAATAATTTATTATTACGAAGTAAAGTGATAGTATGTAAATAAATAAAAAACAGTATACAAACTGAAAAAAAAACCAGTCAAAACAGCGACTCAATATATTAAATGAATAACAAACTAGAAGCAAAAAACATCAATATACTATTATGAAACATGGCTAGAGGAGGCCTGTGCTTCCCTGATTATAGAAGCTGTTTGTTAACTCAGTCTGAAATAACCTTAATAGTGGTAACCATGCCATGAGGAAGAATATCAAAGAGATTGAGGCACTGATTCGCCAAGTATTAGCCATATCTAACAAGGCTCTTTATCAATCACGATATCAAGCAACGATAGAATCCCAAAAAATGTACATAGTGTTTTAAAAAGGACGCCACAGAACTGCAATTCAAGAAAATTTCATTGAGAGGAGAGAGGGAGAGTGGATGGCAAAAAAAGTAACTTCCCAACATTCTGAAAAAGGAGCCTAGATTATCAACAATGTTTCCAATGGCTACTAATGCCCTACAATTGAATCTCTTGTACAATCCAATTCCATAAAAATACAGTGATTCTGTCTGTTTTAAAACACAAGACGCATTATTAGTACTTGATATTATGGGCTAAAAACGTATTATGAATACTTGATGTTATTGTCTAAAAATAGCCGATCATTAGCACTTTTTCAAGACACTTATATGCTCTCCAACAAAAGTAGCAATTTTAAAGAATAATATACGAATCATGGTCGGTTTAACTGACTTCCCTCTGTACTCCAAAAATTATTTATTTTGATAGACTAAATGTATTAAAAAGAGGGCTCGGTGGGTTCTGAAGACTTTTCAGAAAATTTCATGGAGGGGGAGAGGTTTCTGTAAAAATAAAAAAATGTAACTTACCACCATGACCATGCAATTGAGAAGTATTGGCACAGAGAACACTAAGGAGACAAACATTCCTTTGCCATCAAAATACTGTTGCCTTGAAAATATCCTGGAAAATAAAAAATATAATAAGAAAATAACCAAACAACTAACAAAATGCTGTAAGATTTTAAAAAGTAAAGGAAAAGGTATTTTATTTTTGTATTATTCAAAATATTGAGCATAGAAAGAAAGCCCTTTTTTTGTTCAAACTTTTTAATCTATGTATGATATTGAATTGAAACAAGAAGGCTTTAATTGAATAATTGCTGATAAAATGCTACGAGTAAAAATACGGTCAAAGGTTCATACCCACGCTAGGGGACAATGCTCTGTGAGCCACTTCTAGATATTCAATATCAAGTGTCTTTCAAAAACTTAGATGTGTTCATAAGTAACAAAATAAACTAGAGAATGAAAAAATCTAGAAACAATCAAATCAGCAATTGCAAAAAATTTTCAAGTGCAAAAACTAATTTGTTTTGAAACTTCAAAAAAGTGTGAAAACTTGTATACTTGATTTACTTATGAGCTTCAGATTGCTGCATACAATTTGCTCTCTTGGTAATAGCATTGGAATTAAATTCAAGAGTTAAGATGGCACGGCAGATCACACATTTTATTCTAAATACCACTTGACACAAATGATAAGAATTAAAAAATTGAGGAAGGTGAATCCTTGGCACAAAGGTACAAGCTAATTCAGTTAGAAATTTGAAAACAAAAAATTTGACAAACCTCCAATTGGTGGCTGCCATTTCATTGAGATTTTCCGAGAAGTAAACAAGTAAAACTGAAAAAAAGAAGAAAACCTCATTAAAAATTGGACGATAAAAGCGATAAATTCATTGAATTATGGCTGGACAGAATTAAAAAATGTTTCACCAAATAGGATAATATTTTCCTTTGAAAATACTTTAAAAGTTGGGTTTCTGTTTAAGTAGTCTTCCTGAATGGTCTAAAACACTAATTCATCAGATTAACTTTTACCGTAAGATGAGTCCACGGTATTAATTTAAAAAAAAAAACACCTTGTTGCACTGCTTGAGTCATTCTTCAAAATCAGCTAAAATTTTAATTATGAATAAGATTTGTTCGATCTTGACACTTCAGACTTCAGCGTTCTGGCAGAATGCCTTAAGAATGTATGGAATGAGAACCGTGCTAAAAATTGGGGTGCATATTGTAAAGAGAACTAGAGAATTCATGATGCTTCTTATTTCTTTGGTACATAAAAACTTCTTTCATCTTGTAAAACAACCTAAAAATTTACACAACCTCTTTCTGTACACCTAAAAAAGTGTTAATGAAAACAATAAGCAAAGGAGGTTAATTTAATACTCACGTAGTAACAGGAATAAAATAACTTGAAAGTTATTATGATTTCTCGTCAATACTGCTGTCAGTGTGACTATGATATGAAACGTTATCAACCCTACCAGCCATGGATCTCCCCACTCAACCTAAAATGAAACAAAATGAATACAACTTATGAAAAAATTGAAAAAAGAAGAAAGAATCGAAAAATGCTGGAATTGGAAAAAATGAAAAAAATCCATGAAGGATTTGATTAAAATCACACATACCTACAAACAGGCCGATTCTACAGTGCTCTGTGGCGCTCTGCGGCGTCTACCCGCCACGGTCTTTTATCACCCCAAAGCCCTGTCAAGAAGCTGGAACTCTCCGATTCCTTGATCAACTTCTTGTCGTTAACCTTTCACTAAGTGTACCTTTAGTCTCCTTCCAGGTGGAGCCCCATCAATCGTCTATTTTGGTAGCCTTTTTTTCATCATCTCCTTCCGAAATGTGCCTAGAGCTTTATTTTAATGGTGGCTAAAAACCAACACATTGCCGTGCAACGAAAGAACGCCGCCATATGAGCTCTCCAGACTCAATCTTTCCTTTGAAAATTATTTTTCTAGAATTTGGTGGAAATTTTCCTCATAATAGTTCAGAGACTTTTACTTGCACTTTAGTCTGAAGCATCTGAAAATCGCACGTAAAAATTTTCATAACTTTCGTAAAAAAAAAAAAAAAAAAAAAAAAAAAAAAAAAAAACTATTTTACTGACGAAATTTGGCAACATTCTAATGTTCATAGAGCGATTTGCCTTAGCACACCAGGGCAGTTTCCAGCTCGTATTGGGCTCTTCATAAAATACGTAACGCTAAATTTGAGATTTTCCCCCCAGTGTAACGCTTGTGTGACGTAAGGCCCCTATCTTTTACAGTGGCGTGGAGTAAATGGTCGATTATCGATATCTCGCCATTTGAAGCTATGGTAAAGAATCCATTACGAAGGTGTTCGCTGCGAACACCCTGATAATCGATCTTTTTTCATAGGTTTGAGTGGCGTATCAATCGATATATCGCAAAGCACGCCACGCCACTGATCTTTTACGAGTTAAACATGAAAAAGCAAAATTGCGCAACGTTCTTCTCAACCTGCCCTGAGAGCATGGCGTATTTTTATCCACGACCTCTATTCGGTATCACCATGCGACGTTTCAAAATTACCGCCGTCATTTTATTATTTTACAGAAAAATCGTTGGTTGAATCTGTTGGAAAATTTCGCTGAATTTTATTGGCAACACAAAGAAAATTCAGTGAAATTTTCAAACAGATTCGACCCACAAATCCTCTGTGTAGAAATAAAACGGCGGCGGAAATTTTTAAACTTCACATGGCGCTTGTGATGCTCTGGCCGGAAAGTGACGATATACCAATACACTATACAGAATACTCTTCAAAAAAGTCTCGCATAATTCGTCCTTAATGTCCTTAAAAAAATAAAGGAAACTTCCTGTAAAACGCGTCAATCTGGTCTGGATCCAGAGTGTTCTCGGCTCCTACGTCAAATAGCTTTCTGAGATCACGCATGACTGACGTCATCATGTAACAAGCGATGCAGGTAAACAGAACTCTACCCGAATCCCTAATCTCTGTACCATACTTTGCGGCTTGCCGACAATGAGTGACTAAAAGTGCAGACAACAGGGCACACGCTGGCACTAGATATTAAAGTTATCGTCGACGATAATGTGCTTCCCCATTCACTTTCCTCGATTGATGTGATTAATTGCTCATTATAACCGCAAGACGAGAAAAAGCTGTCATTTCGGACGTATAATTAAAAAGTTTTCAACTCATCACGCGATGCAACCGTAGAGCTTGGTTACCTACTTGAACTCCCTCAACACTTCTAAAGCACAGAAAGTTAGTAAACTTTGGACAGGTACTCCTTGGCAACACTAGAGAAGTAACATGGCGTTGCGTCATGCAAGATGGCCACGTTCTCTTGTAAAATTAAAATATTGTATTGATCAGATGCTCTTTAAGGTACGAAATGATCTTCAATAATCAAGGCAATGTTGTCGAATTGCAATATGGCCGTTGCTGTTTTTTCCTCTTTAGAAACTCGCTTATTTTGAGACAGAAATTCCGGTTGAAGGAACCAAAACTGGACCGTATCACGATACGGCGACGCTAGCGTGGTGATTATTGGGGATAATTCTGTAGGTCTGAAGATCATTTGGATAGCATTTTGCAAAAAGGGACCACAAGAATTCCAATTTCGCTAAGATTGAGCAAATTTTTTTACCTTGCAAAAGTAAACTAATCACTTTAACAAGTTTAATCTTCAATCCCAGTAAATGATAGATTCAAGATGAAAATTATGTTTGTAAATGTAACTTTTTGCATAATTTCAGTAATTTCATTGCACAGAATGTAAGTTGCATAATCAGGGCCGGATTCACCTACCTGCCGCCCATGGGCCGCCTATATTTTGTCGCCTCCTTCTCATTCGTTTTGAAACTCGATAAAAACCATCAAATGAACGTCTCAGCAGGGGAGGGGTGCATAAGACGCATTTACTCGTGTTGGACACATTTTTTGGGAAAGCCCTGTCAACAATACTAGCAAAAGTTCACGAAACTTTGCGCGAAAGTTAAGTTCCGTAAACCTATCTCTGTGCCTTCCATTCATAAGAAATGAACTAAAAAATTATGAGAGAAAAAACATAAATGTGGTTTAATGATTTTAACTTCCACCGCCGCGCCGCGAAGACCGCACCGTGTTGGACGCAATGCGTGAAGTGTTCACGCAGTCTTGTAGACGCTATGCGTTTCACGCAGACCGCACTGTATTTGGAGCAATGCGTGAAGTATTCATGCATTCTTGTAGGCGCTATCCGTTTCACGCTGACCGCAATGACCGCACTGTGTTTGATGCAATGCGTGAAGTAGTCGTGCAGTCTTGTAGGCGCTAATATGTGTTACATGCCGATCGTCGCGCCGAAGGCTTCTCCTTCTCATCTCAAGTCCTCGTTATCATTTCTCTCTAAGTCGCGCCTTTCTAGGCCAAATTGCGTGTTTGGTTTCTCTCGTAACTCGACTTATTGAGGGTGCTGTCTCATGTATCACTGAGAGACGACAAAATTAGAAATTACTATGCCCTCGGGAAATGAGAGATTTTGTCGCCTTTTCTCGTTTGTAATTTTGTTTTTATAAATCCAATTTTTTTAATACCTACACTTTAAAAAATTGCAAAATTTGCCGCCCCTTAGATTTGCCACCATGAGCCGCGGCCCATGTAGCCACCCCCTTAATCCGGCCCTGTGCATAATGCTGACAACAATAGAATGCTCTTGGTTTTTTTTTTGCAAAATGCAATCTATTTGATTATGCATGATAAAGATTTTTTTTTTTTACTTATTTATTAAGTTACACCGCTGAATTTTACGCGAGGAGATGAACGATTCGTCACCCTACGGCCGAAGTATTGCAAGTGCCATGCGACGTATAAACATTCCCGCCGCTATTTTATTTTTTTACAGAGAAATATTTCAAGGAAGCTGTCCGAAAATTTCACTGAATTTTCTTTGAGCTGCCGGCAAAATTCAGTGGAATTTTCAGACAGATTCAACCAACAACTTCTCTGTGGAAAAAAAAAATGGCGGCGGCGAACATGTTTAAAACCTCGCATGACACTTGTGACACTTTGGCCGGAAAATGACGAATTGTCCTTTCTGTGAGGCTAATTCGAAGAATTCCTCAAACCTCCCTTCAACAGAATGTAAGCCAAATGAAATACTTCCTTGAGAAGCTGTTAATGGAACGACTAGAAACTAATACGACCCTACATTCGCACCTCTGCACACTCTAGAAAGTTGAAGGTAGCTTAGACGTCAGAATTAATAAAAAAACCGATTGACGGCGCTGAAGAGTCCACTTTGGATTTGATCAATCTCGAGAGATGCCGCCAAATTCGAGAGCCGCAAAGCGGCGAGCCGAGTCGAGAGGCGACACGCGCGCGCAAAGTCAAGGAATTCCACATGGATGGCGATCGCTGGCTGATCGGCTGATCTATACTGGGGCATGAGGACAAGTAACGTGGGCCTACGTCATAAAACGTCTGATCAACGACGTATTGGAAGGCCAGCGACACTGATGACTGAGACTGATGCTCCTCTATTTACAAGGCCCGCACCAGGACACGTAAAATAGAACACTCGGCTCAGTAGGATAAAAACTGAAGTTCATGTTTAGATTCTGGTCAAAATATTCAGGTTCATAGGAATGAGCCCTTGGATATGCGGTAAGAAAATAATTGAACGGATTGATTTAAGATAAGCAAAACCGCCAGATTTTTTGGAAATTAAGGTTTTGGAATACTGTTCTTTGAGGGTTTACTCATTTCAGCACCACAGGAGTCTACCAAAATTGCTATTTAAACGCGTCTTTTTTAAGCGGTTAGCTCATAGGAGCACTTTTAAGCGCTCAGCCGATAAGCAAGCGCTTCTTGCTTCCGTTTTGCCACTTCTCTTTTGAGTTCTTCTAAAGTAGAGCGCTCAGGCGATTAAATGGCTCACCAACTCAACAAAACATGACCGACGAGATTCTCAAAAGTTTATTTTTACTGGCTAATAATACCCCTTTTAACGTTATTAAATATAAAGCAGATGAAATAAATAACATCCCCAAAGTTCTCTTTGATTGGAAGTTTATATAGTTATTTTATTATTATGCCTGAAAGTCCAGGTATGGAGTTCTTTTCATCCGAACTTTTTGCCACCGATGAGGACTTTTTCGGCACCTGTTAAAATTCGCCTCCAAATGGCATGGCTGTTGTGTTATACCATAGAAATCCTCTGCCATTGAAATCCGACTGCTGAGCGCTTCCCTAATACCTACGTAGAGCTTTCCCGCTTGTTTAATTTCAACCTGCCTCTAGAATGCTAGGCAATGCGATCACATGGCGCACCAGCTTAACAACAAGATGGCGGAGAGGGGACCAAAATATTTGGAATTGATCAATTCAATCTGCGATACCTTTATTTAATGCATTTGATGTCGAAGCACGGAAGAAGATATTCTATAATTTATTGTTGTCCTCAATTCCGTCGCATTTCTAAGGCGCAATGATACAACTATTTGAACTCTACGGAATGCGTGAGGTA